GTTTTTAAGATGTCTCTGGAGTGAAATGCAACAATAATGTAATCATATTTTCACTTAATTTACCAATAGAAGAAAAAAATATGCATTCAACCATCAAACATGTTCCAATATTTCATAAATCACAAAACAATCATTTCGAACTAAAATTGTATTATAGAAGATAACTAAAATTCCTAATTAGTATTTCTAGGATCCAAAATTCCCAAATAGCTTCTATTGGTATGTTACCTATGTTTCTATTCAAATATTTTTTTCTTTAAGTATTCAGTCAACATAAGATAGATTTTGATAGGCTAACCCAAATAGTAAAAGAAATTGCTATATCCTACCATATAAATCAACATTAGCAAGATCCAAATGCAAGCAACAAATTCTACTCAAATCAAACTTAAAAATGCAGCCTTGGTGCCTATAAATAATTTCTTTATAAATCGGTGCCAATAAATAATTTCTTTATAAATCATTTGTATATAAATCAGTGCTGAGAAGAAAACTTGATAACTCTTGAAGGAACGAAAAAAAGACGTCAATTGCACATGAACGGAGAATTACCTTCCAAAAGTAATAACGGGGCAGAGGATGTAAATAGATCCATCATTAAACAAGATAAAGACCTGCATATTGAGTAGAAATAGGAATATGTTTCCATCTATATCAGAAGCTAGTGTGCCTCTGCAATCAAGGGCTAAGAAACACAACACCGACAGGAAAGGAAAGCAATTGCATAGAATGTTGTGCACACACCATCACTTATAGACATGGGTTTGGCACTCTTCTGATCCTATCCATATTTATAAATAAGATACATTTTATTTACCATTTGTAAAAAAATATGGCAAGTCTCCAAACTTGCAGGTTACAACTTCTCATACATTGAAAGAGAAGACAAGAAGATCCACCTAAAATATATTACATTGTACCACAAAAGTAATATAAAGATAATTCACATAAATGTGGCATTGGTACTTGAATCTATTTATTAGTGATACAACAAAGCAAATAACTTAAGTCAGCATTAGCATAGTGGAAATTATGACCAACATAAATAACATAGAAAAAATTTGCACATAGCAAAAATTGATAAATCATAATACAATTATGTCTAGATTATATATGATTGAGTGATGTAGCTTTACATGAACTATCAGGTTTTACAGATGCAAATAATATTCCTGCTCTGGTGGGTCAAGAGCTTAAAACATATCAAAACTTTTGCAAAGAAATCAAAAGTACAATAATAACGATTGTGCACATCATATTGATGACTAAAACAGCGCCTGCTGTGAAACAAAATCACAACAAATAAAATATCCAACTATTTCCCAGTGCCAAGGATGAGATATTTCCAAATTGAAGCAAATAAAACCCCTTAATATGCATAGGCCTAATTAACATACATTAAGGATTACTACAACCAGGCTGGTAGTCATAACCACACAATAGCATTTTGCTGGAGTTAGGCATTTGGATATGCTTTAAAGCAAAAAATAGTATTTTCTTCCATTGAAGAGTGTCCATAGAGGTAACATGACACAAACCCTCCAAACCAGCTAGAACCAATGCTGATCCATTTCTATCCACAAAAATCTTATCAACGTCAAAACTAACAGGAGCACTTGCTTCCAAAACCTATAGAAATATGGAAAATTAGCATAGTATACTCTTGTATCAAACTCTATATTGTCAATTATTTTTATTTTTGTGAACATTATAATTCATGCACTAATTATTCATTAAATATCATAATTTCCTGTTTCCATTAGAACATGTTTGGCATGCTTAAAAGCTATTAAAAGACCACGTTGCCTAAAAAAAGCCCGCATGTAGGCTTAGTCAAATTCATTTCAAAGATACTAAGCATGTTGAGATATTGTTAACTCCAATTATTCAGTCTGATAAAATAATATCATGTTCAATGTTGTATACATCGATTTTGTTGAAATATTTTGCAAGTTCAATGCTATACTAAATTCATCATTTTCTATAACTTCATTAGTTAAAAATTGCATTTCTTTGTAGTCTCATCTATCAACAAACCTTTGCTTCAATACACTACTTCCAGCTCTCAAAGATAACGCATGACTATATCCAGTTAGTTATTACAAACAATGCTAAACCAATACCAATATAACGGGTAACTAAAGGAGATGAAATTATAAAGCCCCCCCCCATCAAGAAGAAATCTTTAGAAGAAAGACCAAATTCCAGATAATTTGAGAGTCCAAATTGACAGCTTCCCAAGAGCACCAATCAACAGAAACTCAATCCAACATACAATTCAAAAGCTAAAACAAATATGAATGCACAACAGAAACTCGACCTAATATCCAGTGGGCATTAGTTGCTGGAGTCCTCAGTAGCTTCTAAGAATTATAATTAAGACCCTTTTTTTAATTGCATATACCATTTAAAAGATGACCATTATCCAATTACAGCAAGTCCATTGTTTCTCGCAAAATCAAAGTGTTGGAATTATGCAACAAACTTTAGAGAAAGATTATTTCTTTCGAACTTCATCTAAAATTATTTAGCTCCTCTGTGAATAAATGAACATATTGACCATAATTCAGGTAGTATAAATCCAACAACAGCATTCGAAAAAGACATAAGAAGATATAAGAAAAAACCAAAGAAAAATGAAAACCTCTCTACAATAAAAAAGAAGACAAAAGATTAGCAAAACTTACAGATTGTTGGGGTGAAAATCAGGATCATCGAATTTCTGGAAATAATTTGTATAGTGTTTGCAGTTTTCTAACGTTTCTGTGACACAATTAATTACAGGAATCCCTAAATTAAAATTTAGAAAGCACATATACATAGAAATCAAATACAACCGGAAAAAAACATTAGATACATGCCTTGTCTGCTTTGTAGAGTGCAGCACACTGTGCTTCTACTTCGGAAGGAGCCTAAAAAGATTATCAAGGAAAATTATCGTTAATAAGGGAATTTCTCATTTCTGAAGGCAAAAAAGTAGTGAAGCGTTCTCAAAACAAACAAAAATACAGTAAAGAAATGAAGGCAAATTATAAGAATGAGAAATGTGCTTCAGTACCTCAATGACAGGCACTCCCATAAGAGTAAGAAGTTTTTTGCAATCATCATTGTGTTGCTTTGTCAACTGCAAAACAAAAAAGGACATCAACACAACCAAAAAGGAGGGAAAAGCAAAGCAATAAATGTGTCACATGCACAAAGCATATTTCATAATACACTCTTTCATTACAAGACAAAATCAAAATTTAAATTTCTATGAATCACGCAGAGATCTTAAAACCCAATTAACTTGACTGATTTTGTACCCAACACACTAAATTTTAGCAGGAAAAAATTACTATTCAAAATCTAATTTCACTTGATAATATGATGATACGAATGAAATTTCCCGTATTACCAAATTCATGAGATTGATTTTAGTGTGTTATTTTCAATTTAAAGAAAAATATTCAAAATCTAACTTCATGTTGGATAGGTCTATTGTTATCAATCGAAATTAGTGTGTAACCAAATTTGACAGCATTCTACACTTGATTTTTAAAGTGATAGTTTCAAATTCATAGAAGATTAGCATTAAGGACAAATTCCTTACTTGCCAGCTATTAGCCTATTATAGAGAATACAGATCCAGAAGCCTTGTGAATTTCACAAAGAGTGGGCAATTTTAACATGGATGGATTTTTGCAGTTTACTAAAAAATTGGTCCACTTACAAGGCATGTATCTTTCAATAAATGAATCCTTAACTACTATTTTCATTAATTATAAAATTTTGTGAAGAAATATTAGTTTACAAGTAAGAGTTTGTACCTTGTGACTTCACCAGCTTCGTTGGTGAGCATTTATGTGCCACTTCTTCCAACAACAATCTTCAATTACCAGTCACGATAAAAGAATTTAAGCCATGAAATATATACACGCCCACATTTTCTGGCACCAATTTGCAATTATCACCATATTATCATATCCACAATACAGAGTCTAGCAAACAAAGCCATTAGTAACTCAACACGGAGGCATCTACAGAAGGCTCTCACTGACACCATCTTAATTTTTATTCCTGAAACTTATAGCAATTAAAACAAACAAACTTATCTATGTCTAGAAGTATGAGGAAAAGACAATTAACATATGGAGCATTTATCTTCAGCAATCAACATGTTCAGAAACTGAAAATAATAGCAGAGCACCCAAATCCTTTTCTGAGTGACAATATCACTTCCAAGTATATGCTCACACAATTATTTATATGTAAAATCCACAAAAATAGCGATTCCAACATTCAAATATAAAATAACATCACAAAGTACAGAAATAAAACCACAAAAGTAAGCCAAACCCAATAGATCGAAGAGGCAGGAGAGCCAGTGTTGGAGGTACACGGAACCACCGCCTCGATTTGAAACCTCGACAAAGGCGGGAGCGAACGGCGGAAGCAATCGAAGACCTTCAAATGAGAAAATATGTATTCAAATGAAAGATAACATCACAAAGCACAAAAAAAACCAATAAAGGGAAGACAAACCAAGCAGATCGAAGAGGCAGGAGAGGCGAGAGAGCTGGCGGTGGAGACGCATTGAAGAGGCAGGAGAGCCAGCGTTGGAGGTACACGGAACCACCGCCTCGATTTAAAACCTCGACGGAGGCGGGAGCGAAAGGCGGAAGGGATCAAAGACCTTCAAACGAGAAAATATGTATTCAAATGAAAGATAACATCACAAAGCACAAAAAAAACCAATAAAAGGAAGACAAACCTAGCAGATCGAAGAGGCAGGAGAGGCGGGAGAGCTGGCGGTGGAGACGCCTGCGATTGGAAACCCTAACCGACGAGAGAACGGCGGAAGTCAATGAAAACCTAATACAAGAAAATAAGCGTCCATTCCTATTTTATCCCTTTCAACTTTATCTTTATAAATTTTTTTTTTTTAATCCATTGCTGAAACGACGTCGCCCAAAGGACGAAAACGTGAACAGTAAAAAAAAAGTGTCTCTTTTATTTGGTAGTGAGATGAAAAGATTCATTTTCATCTCCTTTGTCCATTTGTCTATCATCCACAGATTTTCTTTTGCCAAAAGCAAAAGTAATGATAAAGGGATAAGATAAAATGTTTGGAATCACTTTTGAAAAAGTAGATGCCTTTACCCATGGTAATTTGTCGGTCATTTTGTCAAAAATTGATGCTTTTTATTTTGATTGGTCTCCGTGATTTCTTTTTTCTGTAGAACTTCCTCCAGACTTTGTCTCTTCTGTCGGTGAATCCTTATCATCTTCTGTTGTTTTACACCATTGACAAAAATGATTTTTTCCAATGCTCTGTCTTAAAGTTTTACATAATTCTCCTTTGTAATTTGAAGGAGTATTAGGTAAATTATAAAATTTTTTTCAAAACTACACAAAGTTTTGATTCCTTCCATTTTGATCACCGATCCTGTCTTGCTTGTCACCAAAATAGTATTTGATGAATAATTCACTTGATTTTTGACTCATTATTAAATGTTCTTAAACCTGTTAAGAGTTGTTAGTATGAAATACTTCTTCATTCATTGAGAGTTTGTTCACTTACACTTTCAATCTTTGCTGTAGTTGGTTTATTCAGAGTGATTTGCTGTAATGTCTTGATTTGGATATGATGATATCCTTTAATCAATAATCCTTCATTATTCCAAAATAGAATTGTACTGTCTATCTTCAAAATCATGTGAAGATCTGGATCCTTAATAATATATTTCTTAAAATCCTTCAAGGCTTTTAATAATTTGTCATCAATTAGTCTGATTTCTTTCATTGTCTCACTGAAGAGTATCATCTTGATTAATCCACAATGAAAAGCTGTTTGTACTATTGTCAGTTCAGATCCTTGACAAAAAATGAACTGTCCAAACCTTTTTTCAAATGTACCAAAATATGTTTTGCATGGGTCAGAATCTCTAACTGTCCTGACTTCTTCTTCACATTGAAGGAACACCTGCAAAGTAATTCCACTAAAAAAATTGTTTTTCTTGTGATTTTTGAATTTTTCCAATAGGTTTAAATCTATTTGGAAGATTATCTGTTTCAGAACTGGATTGGGCCATATCTTTAAAAGATATCATCCTTAATCTCTGATTGGGATTTGGAGGTTAAATACTGGCAATCTTTGCTTAGCCCTTAGGTTACTGTCTTGGCAGTATCTGGGTCTGAGTTGAATATTGTCATTAAGATGATTATATGAAGAATGTGTAATTCCTTTAGCTTCATAAAATTGGTTAAAAGCTTGTTGGGCTTCAAGAAAAGTTTTAAAACTTTTGTGTTTGTAGGGCTTGTTTTTTACAAGTAGTTCAACTTGTTTCCATTGTGAATAAAAGTCCATATCTGGATCTTCAAAGATTACATAAAATTTGGTACCTGCAGGCAAATTGTTAATACCCACCAGTGATGAATTTTCGATTCCAACAATTGGAATATTTTTCTCTTGGGCTTCAATGCCTTTGAGTTTTTTTGGGTTTTGAATACCTCCTTGCTCTTGCAAGCATTTTTTATATCATGATTGTGGGCTTGGATTACCCGTAAGTTCTTTCGAATACTGAGATTTCAAATTCTTGTATGTATAATTTTCAATAGTCATGTTATTGTCAACATCAATTTTTGGGTTTTGAATTCCCTTTTGCTCTTGAGAGCACTGAGCTAGACTATGCTCTTTTGTATTATTTCCAGTAATATTACTACTTTCAATATTGAGTGTCTTCTTCAGGATTGTATTTTTCTTTCTAGTAGTATTGCTACTTTCAATTCCTCTTATTTGGGGTTGTTTTTCAGAGGTTTCATCCTCCCCCATTTTTTCAGAAGTTGATGCTAATTTTTGTTTGAGAAGTGTAGCCAACTTCTTTTTCAAAATTTGCAATTTCTGTTGTCTTGTTGAGATCTCAATTTCTTCAATTTCGGTATGTATTTCAAGGTCATCAATCTGATATTAAATTGTATTCATTTTTACTGTAAAAGCAAATTCTCTTGTAAGCGTATCTGCTAAAGAGTTGGTTTTACCTTTTATGATTTGTATTTCAAAATCATATTGGCTAAGCCACATTTGCCGTCTCGCAAGTCTTCCTTGCTTATAGTCTGGATGTACCTGGTGTCTTAAAAATGAATTACATGTACTTGAATTAGTACATGTAAAAAAGAAGAAAGTTAAAATAGACATATTTTTAAACTTCTCTAGACCGCATCAAGAGTGATGGTAATAGAGAGTATAAAAGGTTAAATTTTACCCTTTCGGGGGTGGTCGAGTTGGTAGAGCAAGTGAACGCGGAGATCAAAGGTTATGAGTTCGAATCCCCTGCCAATACTTTCTCGGTCGAACTCATCGTACCGAGTTTGTCTAGTGCATTTTACATCTCCTGTGTGGTTCACGGGCTACTACACATGGAGTGGAGTTTACCTAGCACGCACTCACAGTGGTCGGGGGTCCGCTGACGGGTAGCTGTTACGGGTTTCTACGTTAACAAAAAAAAAAAAGTATAAAAGGTAAAACCAAACATGCTCCAAAATATAAGTGAAATTATAGTTGAAAAACAAACCCTTAGGGTTCTTCGAAAGAGCAATTCGCCGCCGAGTTGATCTCCCGTAAATATATAAATATATAGAACACATAATATAAGCTCCTCTTTAGTCACTCTCCTTTATAAACCCTCAAACCCAGCTCCACTGCTCGGCTCTACTTCTTATATTTTTTAATCAGAACGCACCCCCTTCGCTATTTTCTTCAAATTCAATGTGATTAAAGAAGGCTCTTTTGCCAAGAAATAAATTTTCGTTGTCTATAGTCCTTTTAATTTATACTGAAAGGAAATAAATTTTATTGTTTCATCATGGCGTTTTGTTGGTTTTATCATAACAAAATGGAATTTCTTGAGGCTTGACTGTCAAAGAATGGTTTTTTATGTGCTCAATTGTACATACGGGTTTTTTAGGTTTTAGTGTTTAGAATAAAAGAAGTATTCTTGAGAGCTTTCTAAGGTTTGTAGGGTTTGTGAGTTTTGGTGGGAGCAGTTTAAAATTTTCTTTGTGGAAGGAGGATTTTGGTATAGTGGAAGAAATGTTGCCTGAATTTGAGAGGAGACCAATGCTAAACAATGAAAATTCCTTTGGAGATGAGTTGGAGAAGGAGATTGGTTTCTTGCTTCTTGAACAGCGGCACCAAGATGCTGATGAACGTGAAAAGGAACTGAATATGTATAGGAGTGGATCAGCTCCCCCTACCGTCGAGGGTTCCTTGAAGGCAATCGATGGTTTGTATAAACGCGGTGATGTTAGTGGTGGCAGCAGTGGTGGAATAGCCTTCCCTGAAATTGCTAGGAATAAGAGCGGTAATGGGTTCATGACAGATGAGGAACTTAGGTCCGATCCGGCATATTCATCTTACTATTACTCAAATGCCAATATGAACCCAAGGCTGCCGCCACCTCTGTTATCCAAGGAGGATTGGCGGTCTGCTCAGAGGTTACAAGGAGGGGGTTCTGCAATTGGGGATAGAAGGAAGGTTAATAGGAGTGATAGTAGTGGCGGTGGTGGCGGGAGATTGCAGTTTACAATGCCACCGGGGTTCAATTCTAAGAAGTCAGATAGTGAGAATGAGATGGATAAAGCTAATGGTACTGTGGAGTGGGGTGGTGATGGGCTGATTGGTTTGCCTGGATTAGGACTAGGTGGCAAACAGAAGAGCCTGGCTGAAATATTTCAGGTGAATACTTGCATAAATTTGTGTCTATTATATAGGTTTTGTTAAACCATTTACTTGGAGTCTTTCTACCTTTTTTGAGACTGAAACACTGTGTTGATTCTTAAGACTATTTACCTTTTCTACATTACTGTTCCAGATTATCTAATTTTTTGTACAGGGTTATGTGATGATCTTTGGCATTTTTTGGCATTTTTTATATGAATATTGAAGTCCATGTACGTATTGAGAAATTATCTGTTTCATGCATATACTTGAAGATGATTGTTAAATTTGATGTTACCTTTTTCTGTGCATGTGTTACAGTTAAGCATGACAATGTTACTCGTCTATCAAGTTTTAGTTTTTGTCCATGGATTGGATAATTTGTTGTGAGTGAACTTCATGGACTGCGTTTCATGCATAGACTCAAGTTCTCAAATAGTTCCTTTGGTTATGAATTTATGCTTTATTTTAATAATTTTGATGTAGTTTTTCGTTGACTGGAATCCACTTTGAACTCATTTCTCAGCCACTTTCTGAGATATTCTACTTTTCTTTGCGAATCTAATCATTTTCATTTGGGTGCTGGTTCATAGTTCATCTGTTTTTTCTGTTGAAAACAGTCTTGGTATGTTAATGATTTTTCTCTAAAGAAATTTGTTAGATTTGCATACACTCATCGTATTTTCTCCGACTTTCAATTTCTAAGTGGTAGGAACATTTTCATTAGTCTTAATTTTGGCAATGCTTGTTGACAAGATGAATGCTGGTTGAACATGAAATTATAAAAAAAAATTATGTGTCTATGGGGGATCTATTGTGAGTGATGAAATAAGAGAAGACAGGACAATTTTGGTATCTAATGATTAATATCATTTCATAACGGTCATCTGGGGTTTACTTCAACCTTCATTTCACACTGAAAGGTGAAACTCCTTTTAATTTCGACCATTAGTCTTTTTGATAGCTCATTGCACATCTATTACTTGAAAATACTTCTTCAATGGGAAGAGCTCTACTTAAAATGCCTGGCTTCTAGTTGTGTCCTCCACCCTTTGCACTTTCTGCTATTATGCGTCTAGGAGACTTGTAAATTTTTTTTTTCTTTTCAAAATTTCAACTTGGGTTAACCACAAATTCATTGCAAAATCTATCTAGTAGTTCAGTTAATTGGTTGAAGTGAGTCTCTGTAGTTAAAACATGGTCCTGATTACAATTTTTGAATTATAGTTCTCAGTCTGCCTTCTGCCTATATCAAATAGATACATTCATAATGGGTTTTCTGTTTTTTCATTTATTTTTCGCATTATTTTAATGAAAAGCTAGCAATTTTTATGCCTCTAGGAGACTTATAATTTTCTTTTTCTTTTCAAAATTTCAACTTGGGTTAACCACAAATTCATTGCAAAATCTATCTAGTAGTTCAGTTAATAGGTTGAAGTGAGTCTCTGTAGTTAAAACATGGTCCTGATTACAATTTTTGAATTATAGTTCTCTTGTCTGCCTTCTGCGGTTCTGCCTATATCATAGAGATACATTCATAATGGGTTTTCTGTTTTTTCATTTATTTTTCACATTATTTTAATGAAAAGCTAGCAATTTTTATGCATTAATAGACACACTAGGAAAGAATATTGTGGTGCTGTTTCTTGAAAATATTATTGCTTTAGCATTCTGTTATTGGTTGTGTTCCATAATATAATGTGCATTTTTTTATAATTAATCTACTTCCTTTTTTACTTATGATAAATGTGTCACGTTATTACCCTTGGGTACTTCTTTGTGATCTATTTCGGACCCCATCAACCCAAATCTAAGCTTTAACTTTGAAACTTATGTCGTTGAGTAAATTTGATGTAATCTACCTAAGACTTGTATGCGATACATAATAGGATCTTTTTTGGAACTCGGTTAATGATTCAGCAGTTTTGTCTTCTGGCCTCTCATATATCTGGAAAGAAATTCAAGGAGTCATTTATGTGCTTTTCATTTTTAATTATCACGTTCCTTTTGTCATCTAAATTATCTCTTCAGTAGACTCCTAGTGAGTTTAAAAGAGATAAAATAGTACCCATTACATTATTTCTCGGCGTAATTTTGTGTGCGATGTTTTGCTTTTCCTTCAAATTGTGTCATAGTCTTGGAAAGTCTCAATTTTGGTATTTTGTTTTAACCTCCCGCTTCCCCAAAGATGAATGCATCATTTCTTTCATGGCATTCTTTGTGCATCTCAGTTCTTGATATCTGTGCAGGATGACTTGAACCGTGCACCTCCTGTATCTGGACACCCTTCACGCCCCGCAAGCTGTAATGTGTTTGATGAGAATGCTGACACCATAGCTTCAGCAGAATATGAGCTGGCTCACATCCGTCAAGATTTGGCAGCTTCAGACTTGTTGCGCTCTACTTCGAATATTCAGAGCTCATCTGCTGTTCAACATGTCGGACCACCTACATCATATTCTTATGCTGCTGCTTTGGGTGCTTCCTTGTCTAGAAGCTCCACACCTGATCCACAGCACATTGCGAGGGCTCCTAGCCCTTGCCTTACCCCTATTGGAGGAGGTAGGGCAGGCATTTCAGAAAAGAGAAGCATTAACAGTCCCAGTTCGTATGATGCCATATGTTCCCAAACAAATGGGTCTGTAGATCTGGTAGCTGCTTTGTCAGACTTGAACCTTTCAAATGGTGTGCTAGATGAGGACAATTATTTGCCTTCTAGGATTGAACAAGATTTTGATGACCATAAAAATTACCCATTCAGTCTTCCGGGTGTGCAGAATAACACGAAGCAGCATTCATTTACAAAGAAATCTGAAACTGGGCAGTTCAATATGGCTTCTGTACCTCAGTCAACGAAAATGATGCCTTCTGACCCTGGTTTGAGTGATGGTGGTGAGTTGGACATCAGCAACTCCTCCCTCCGAGCTGAGCTATACAGAGCTGGTATTTCTTCTAATAATTTGTACCTGAAAGGGTCTACTACTTCAGCTGTTAATGGTGGGGGCAGCCTAGCCCCTCAATATCAGCATTTGGATAGTCCAAATTTCTCATATTCAAGTTATGGTTTAAGTGGCTATCCCATGAGTCCAATAACAAGCCAACTTGGCAACTCTAATCTGCCGCCTCTATTTGAGAATGCTGCTGCTGCATCTGCTATGGCTGTACCTGGGATGCACTCAAGGATGATTGGGGGGCCAAATCTAGGCACCGCTGCCTCTGAAGAGAACATTGGCGGAATGAGAAATCAGATTGCTGGTAGTGTGCTGCAGACACCTTTTGTTGATACAGTGTATCTTCAATACTTGAGGACAGCTGAGTATGCTGCAGCTCTTAGTGACCCTTCTGCAGATAGAAGCTACATGGGTAATTCATACACGGACTTGCTTCAGAAAGCTTATCTTGGCACCCTATTATCCCCACAGAAATCGCAATATGGTGTTCCATTGGTTGGAAAGACCAGTGGTTCTAGTCCTTATGGTTACTATGGCAATCCTGCATTTGGCATTGGGTTGTCGTATCCGGGAAGTCCCCCTGTTATTCCAAACTCTCCTGTAGGACCTGGTAGTCCCATGCGGCATGGAGATTTCAACATGAGATTCACTGGTGGGGTGAGAAATATAGCTGGGGGTATGATGGGATCCTGGCACTCGGACAACTTGGAGAATAGATTTTCTTCCTCTTTGCTGGAGGAGTTTAAGAGCAACAAAACCAAATGTTTTGAACTTTCAGAGATTTCGGGTCATGTTGTTGAATTTAGGTACATATTTCTCAAGAATGGTCTTTTCACTTACGATTGCTGCAACCTTATATTTTGTGACCTTTACATCTGTTGTCAGTGCTGATCAGTATGGAAGCCGGTTCATACAACAAAAACTTGAAACGGCCACAGCAGAGGAGAAGCACATGGTTTTCCAGGAAATTTTTCCTCAAGCTCTTACTCTGATGACTGATGTGTTCGGTAATTATGTAATCCAGAAGGTACCTACATTTCTTCCCTTTATTAGTAGATATTCACAATCGTCTACATTTATACGCACAAATAAGCCCTTAGCTTTCAGACTCCATTTTTTTTTTTTTTGTACTACTAATTTTGTTTCTTTCCAGTTTTTTGAACATGGAATGGCAGCCCAGAGGAGAGAATTATGTAGCAAGCTTTTTGGGCATGTACTTACACTTAGCCTTCAAATGTATGGTTGTCGGGTGATACAGAAGGTAACTTCAGATTTAAGTCGTATGCATCTTCTATTTTCCTGTACTATACTTCCTCCTCGTGGCCTGTTATTTCTCCAAGGGAGCTAATTCATATTCTCGTAGATCATTTTGCTATTTGAATCGTATACTTTATTATAATAAATTACTACAGTTAACTGAAGTTGTGATTTTATAAATATCTAATTCATAAACTCTTTGAAAACTTAGGCTGTTGAAGTTGTTGATGTGGATCAGAAGATTAAAATGGTGGAAGAGCTTGATGGACATGTCATGCGTTGTGTGCGTGATCAAAATGGTAACCATGTCATCCAGAAATGCATCGAATGTATTCCAGAGGAGCATATCCAGTTTATTGTCTCGACATTTATTGACCAAGTCGTGACTCTATCCACTCATCCATATGGGTGTCGTGTGATGCAGGTTACATAACATCCTAATATACTCTTTTAACTTTTTGACATTTTTGACTTTGATCTTATTTATTTGATAATAATGTTTTACTTCCCATAGAGAGTATTGGAGCACTGTCAGGACGTAAAAACCCAGTGTAAAGTGATGGAAGAGATTCTAGTGTCTGTAAACATGTTGGCACAGGATCAGTATGGCAATTACGTCATTCAGGTTTGCTATGTATTTTGAAGTTATATAGTTTATCCTTAGTCCTCTCACATATTGTTAGTATCTTGGCATTGTGCATGCTATTGCGGAGTTTTGTGGAAATATTTGAAGTCAAATATGCTGTATCAAAAGTTTTGTAAAGGTTAAAGTTGTATAGATTTTTCATGCTCGTTACATTTTCAACATAGAGTTTGCTCACGTCTTCTTCAGTGCTTTATTCTTATTTTTTTGGTTTATTGCATGAACTCTCGAGCTTGTTCCGTGAAGAAAGTAGTTATCCTACAGTTGTTTATAATAATTTTTCTTCTCTTATAATATTTATCTGAACTGGCATGCTCAACATTTTCTTAGTCTTCGTCTTGCCGTTATCTGCTAAAAGGTTGATGCAAACTTGTGACACCCGTCTCCACCCTTATACCCTACCCCGAAAGTGAAGGAAGGTTAAAACAGAAAAACATATACAGTATATGATTCAAACGAAGAATAAATAAATCATCAATATTGTTGCATTGCTTCAAATGGCATTTACTCCAAGATTGTTTACATGTTCGTTCAATTAACTATTCATTTTTATCTGTTCATTTAATTATATTTTTTTATAATTTTTATGCATATAACTATTAAGAGTTATAATTTTTGGGAATTTTAATTTTTTTTTAAATTTTAGAATTTATTTCAAAATTTTTATTTCTTAGTTTTTTAGAATTTGTCAATTTTTTTTTTTAAGAATTTATATTTTTGTTTTTTAGACTTTTAGCTAAATAAAATTTTATATAAATTCTTGTTTCCCATGTTTTAAGTGTTTTAGCATTTTCACTAAGGAAACTCAAAACATAAAAAATGAGTTTTGAGTTTTATGTTATAAGTTTAACATTGTTTTCAAAAAACTTTTTTCGAAAATACCATACCAAATGAGTTTTGGGTGTGTTGTAAAACTGAAAATAGCAAACCAAACGCACTCTAATTGATCTATCATGGTTTGACATTAGTGATTAATATGAAATTAAATAGGTTCTCGTTCAGTCCAGGTGAAGCTTTCAATAAGTGTTGTTCATTTTCTTGTTATATAGCATGTGCTGGAGCATGGAAAGCCACACGAGAGATCTACTATAATCCAGGAATTGGCTGGGAAGATAGTTCAAATGAGCCAGCAAAAGTTTGCTTCAAATGTTGTCGAGAAGTGTTTAACTTTTTGTGATCCCCATGAGCGGCAACTCCTGGTGAATGAGATGCTTGGATCAACTGATGAAAATGAGCCTCTTCAGGTTTGATATTTGGCTATTTTAATTATAAATTGTTTCATATAACAATATATTTTCTCATGAAGGTAGAAACTTAACTCCTGCTGTTGGTGAAGGAATTACAGCTATAAGCCCTTGTTTGAGCCTCATTTTTTTTTTGCCAAAATGAATTTTAGAATAGTGTTTTGTTAGAGAATGTGGTTAAAAAGAAAGAAAAAGTTTTCGATTTACGTGTAAAATTATTTTATAGGGAGATGTGTGATTGAAAATGAAATTTGAACCCTGAGGGGTTGCTCAATTGGTCAGGTCTTGGGTTTGCTCCCCAATGGTCACCAATTCGAGTCCCCTCAAGGCCACTGAGGTGAGTATCCGGCCGTAAACTTCAGGGCCCCGTGGAATTAGTCGAGGTGTTCGCAAAGCTAGCTCGAACATCCACGGTTATCAAAAAAAAAAAAAAAAGAAAGAAATTTGAAAAAATGAATTTTTTTTAAAAAAAGGGAGGCCAAACATAGGCTAAATAAGACTTTTAATGTCCTGACCTTTGTCTTGTTGGAAGCTCTCTGACATTCTGTATTGGTAATATTGAACTGCCACTGCATATAGTGATCTCTTCACTTCATAACATCCTGGTGTGTTGTGGCTTTGAATTTCTGCATTTGCTTCTGAGTTAGCTAGGTGGCGCATCTTACAACTTCCATCAATTTTTTGCCCTCAATTTGTACTGAATTTTCAATATGGTATATAGTTTTTTTACGTGGAATTGTTTTAACTGGTTCTTGTTGAGGCTTACATCTGAGTTTACAATTAAGCCATTCTAAAACATTGGTCCCATTGATTTATGGTCTTCTATGATAGCGATGAGAAAAGTATCACAATGCTACCTATGAAGTAAGAGTACTCAAGTTTGCAAGGTATAGCATTATTGCTTGGAATTAGGTGGCAGAGAAGGACAACAAAAAAAATTTCAATCATAGAAATATGGGAAGATCTGAGAGTCATTTTGTATTTTTGATCTTTTTGCCACTGTAGGGTTTATCAAATTTCTACTCATCAAAAAAAAAAAATTATTAAATTTCTTGAAAACCTATAATTTTTATCTATGCAATAACACTTACATTCTCGAATTATAATTTTTATGCTCCAGGCTATGATGAAAGATCAATTTGCGAATTACGTTGTACAGAAAGTACTTGAAACTTGTAGTGATCAAGAGCGTGAACTGATACTGTCTAGAATAAAAGTTCATTTGAATGCATTAAAGAAATACACTTATGGGAAGCACATCGTAGCTCGTGTAGAGAAACTTGTTGCTGCTGGGGGTATGATATTCTTACCTTTACTTTATACATGTGCATCCATTTTGATTGCCTTTCAAGACTACGGGAAGAAAGCTAGTGTCATACAAGCTCTTTTTTCTTTTCTTTTCTTTTCCCCATTACCTCGCTGTTTTTAGAATTCCCTATCCCCCCTCTTTCCATCAAGAGGAATTCATATGTTTGAGCTTCCAAGGAAATTCTCTTATTAAGAGTACTTGGTAAGGATGTTTGGCTAAGGTTCCAATGTTTACTTTTAAGAAACAAGTAATCTTAAACTAAAGGATTTGTTTAACTGGATCTATCTTGGAAATAAGCAAGTTACTTATTTTGATGGTAAGGTAACGTTCAGAGTCAGTAACTTTTTTACTTGAAAGTAAGATATCAAAAAAAATGTCTTAAAAAAGGTTATGTGAAAGTAAATTTTACTTTTGAAGTTTAGCCAAATGCACTGTGAATCTCTCCTGACTTGTGAAAGGATGAATCATGCTGGTTTATGGCCTAAAAAGTATCTTTACCATGAATGACAATTGCTATGTGTTGATTTAGAAAAGATCTCTAGGGTTTGAATATAACTTCATGTGATCACCATTTGTTGTACTTGTAGCCATGTTTAGTATGCAGTATTGGACAAGACTTAACAGTAATAATGAACAAGATTTTATCTTCGTCATCTTAAATACTCCCACTACCATTCAATCCTCCCTGTCAAACAATGCACAAGTTCACTATGAATCTTCAATGTACAGATTGCTCAATAAATTTATTATTTCAATTTTTTGCAGAAAGGAGAATTGCTCAATCCCTTCTCTCCATTTAGATGCCGTAGGAGAGAAAGTTGTACAGCTAACCGAGGCTAGTTTGAGCTACCTTGCTTCCTTCTACTTCTGCCAGGCATTATGCTCTGGCTAAATACCCTATCTTAGAGGAAGGCATTAGAGGATTTGCAAATAAATTTGTTGCCTGTTCTAAAAACTGCTCATTGTATAGTTTTAAGTTTATACATAGATTCTAGTAAGCTGAGGCTCGGAGGTTAAATGTTCCTGATGCCTGTGCAGTTTTAAGATGACAATACAAGTTTGAGGGGTGTATAAATGGCGAAAGGTGAGGTAGTTTATGTTGCGACATGACTACAAATTATGGCGTGGTGAGTAGGTTTTATAGGCAAGGCCAGGATATATGGTGTATTTTGTATCTAAAAGTCATCTTGTATGGCCGAGAACACTTTGGGTTCTTTTTAAATTGTCTGTCCGTCTTCATTATTTCATTTTCTAGTTTAAGTAGGTGTGGAATTAGGGACCATATCAAGGTCCAACACTAACCCAGTTTTCAATGTGAGTAGTGACTGGAATTCAACGATCGACCTCACTTTTCTAAGCAAAAAGGACTGTTAAATAAAACTTAATGGAAGCTTCTAAACCCGTGGTTTTAGAGGAATTCATTTGTTTTGTTTTATTTGATTTTTGGAATTTGTGGGTATTGAATGGAAACTTGCATAATTCTTGAAATAGAGTTTGTGTGACTTGTCAACAATGATGCCTTTTGGTGGCTCGTTAAATGGTGGTTGAGTAAACTGAGGAATATGATTAGAAACATGGTATGGTAGACATGGATTTAACTTGCCCCCAATTTCTAATAGAACTCGTTGTCCATTGTTGAAACATGGTATGAGAATTAGAAATTTCCCATGAAGGACTGCAGTCAGATTCAAGGTGCCAAAATCAGCAAGGTATTTCAAATATTCAAGATAGAAGCTTAAGAAAAGAGTAGTCGAGTATTTTGTTGCTTCATCTCTTCGAGAAAATCAAACAATAAAGCAAATGGAGTGACGGCTGACACCAAATTTATAGGCAAACAAGGTGAAGTTTTTAGTTGCAGAAGCTAAAGGGAGAATAATAAAATGTATGAATGATCTTCCGTATGGAAATGATTCGTCCTCTTTCCTAGAGATCTTATAGAATAATGCTATTTAGCATCGGTGGTAATACAATATCAGTTTAAGTTGCTACATTTTATAGGTTGAATTAAATGAATGACGTGACCTTGATTTTCCAATCTGAATTCTTCTTCTCTTCTTACTTCTCCAAATCTGCTTCCTTTCCGAATCTCTCCTCCATTTTCTCTTCTTCACCGTTAGTTGCCTTGATTTCTCAGCTCCTCTGAATTATCCTCTTCTCTTTATCTCTATCCGTTCTGAATCTGAATTCTTCCTCTCTTACTGCTCAAAATCTGTTCTCCATGTCTCTATTCTCTCTCTCTCTCTCTCTCTCTCTCTCTCTCTCTCATATTTGTCCTTTCACTTGTAATCCCCTGCATTGTAATAGAAAGTATCAATCAATGAAACACATTTTACATTTAGTTGGTTTTGTCTAATTTTTCAATTAATGAAGTTCCACCTTGGGTTATTGATTCACAGCTGAATATATTCAATTGTGTGTTGTTTTTGAGTGGAATATAGCTAGTTTTGGTTGAAGTTCAGCTTCAACCATTACAACTACTTCCTGCAAATTCTCTTCTGGGGAGTGGGGTGACTTCTGATGGCAAGTAATTCCCATTTACAGCAGAAAATCTCCAATTTCTTATGGGTTTTAGATATACGGCACTCGCCGAATACTGATAATTCAAAGTTCTTATTGAGATTTGAGTGAATGGAAATCCAAGTATTGGGGTGTTTGATGGAGAAAATGAATGGTGGGAATTGATAAAGTGACTAGGTTTACTCTTTGAGAATCAAAGAGAGAGCTGGAAGTAGAGGTGTCAATCTAGGTGGGTCGGGCCGGGTCGGCCCGTCAACATATGAACCCGATAACTGCTCACGTGAAAAAAAGTCCGTCCGCTACGGGTTTCGGGTTGGCCCACAAATTTTGGACTACTATCCGGCCCGACCGTTGACCCATCTGGGTCGAGCCCATACAGGTCGCGGGTCGTGGGTCATGGGTCGCGGGTTTTCCAAGAATTTTTTATATTGATAGCAAAAATTTTTTTTTTTTAAATTTAAACTAAGAATTGAACAAAATGATAAATTCATATTTATACCAAGAAACATCTACATGGAATTCAAATTTAATAATTGAAATTTAACAACTAAATGCATTGCTAATTACGTGAAGATATATATTTATAGTAAAGTACATCCCAACTAGGTTGGCACCTACTTTTATTATAATTTATAATTTAAGTACATTCCAACTAACTTGTCACATACTTAAATCTTAACTTTTAACTATAATATAGTTGTTGAAAAAT